TATCTATCTATCTATCTATCTATCTATCTATCTATTATCTATCTATCTATCTATCTATCTATCTATCTATCTATCATCTATCTATCTATCTATCTATCTATCTATCTATCTATCTATCTATCCATCCATCCATCTATCTATTTATCTATCTATCCTGGAGCATTAACCTGGAAATAAGGAGAAACTTTCTGACAGTGAGAACAATCAACCCATGGAACAAAAGTTGCCTTCGGAAGTTGTGGGAGCTTCATCACTGGAGGCTTTCAAGAAGAGATTGGACTCCCATCTGTCAGAAACGGTGTAGGGTCTCCTGCTTGGGCAGGAGGTCGGACTATAAGGTCCCTTCCAACTCTGATTATCTGTTAACACAGTGGTTGGATGCCCTTGCTATCTGGGGAATTTGGGGAGTTGAAGTACAACCTCCAAGTGGCCTCAACAACTCTCTAAAAGAATGCAAATGACCAGCTGTCTGCAAGGAGTGTAAATGCTTCCATTCCCCACCATGCAGTCAGAGCTGAAGAAGCTTCTTGGATGAGAAGTGAAACGTCTTCAAAGAAAACCAAGAAAGTCCAATTGCCTCTTGAAAAAAAAACACGTTTGGGACAACCATGACCTGGATGACTGAGAATTTTCATAGACATACAACAGAGCCTCAACTTCCTTGATCTAACCTAAAGATGTTCACAGCATGTTCTATCAAGATATATGTCCCATCGTACCCCATCACGTTGCTAACCAGTTTTCGTCTTCTGTTCAGATATATGAAAGAAGTAAAAGTGAGTCAGAGCAACTACCCGTGAATACACCGCCTCATCCTGAAACTCCTGCACCCTTATTCCTCCACACAGAAGACCCCCAAAGTTTGGCATCTAACAGAACCATAACAGTTTCACACATTGGGGCAAGAATCCAGCCAACGTTGCACGAACAAAGGTGAATTTCTTCCCAAGCCAGAGCATACTGTGGCTTGCACACTCTGTGCAAAGAAAGGAGAGAAGATTGAAACAAGCCCGTCGCTAACAAATCAAGTCCAATAGAAGAAGGTGTCATGTTGGCTCAAACACACACACACACACACACACACACACACACACACACACACACGCCTTGGAAATATGGATCTGTGAGAAAATGTGGCCCAGAGATTGTGGGGGTTCGGTTTCCTTGGCTCCTAATCAGCAGTTTAATTATAGTAACTTTTCAGTCCACTTAAAAGTGCTCAAGATAAGCGCAGCGGTAGCAAAACCGCCTCACTCACTCTGCTTGACTGCCTCCTTTTTCCTTTTATTCTTCCATCTCTCCCCCCCTCCTCAAAAATATAAGAGAAACGTCTTCAAAGAAAAACCAGGAAGTCCAAATGCCTCTTGAAAAAGCACCCTGTGAGAAAACCATGACCTGGGATGACTGAGAGTCTCCGTAGATTCTTTTATCGGTAGATATAATAAAGATAAAGATAAAATAAAATAAATGTATCTTTTCTTTTCTTTTTTTTTTGTACACCAAGAGCACGTGCACCAAGACAAATTACTTGTGTGTCTAATCACACTTGGCCAATAAAGAATGCATTCATTCATTCATATCAATTCATATTCATTTTGTTCACCACATTATAAAAAAGATGTTGAGACTCTAGAAAAAGTACAGAGAGGAGCAACCAGGATGATGAGAGGACTGGAGGCTCAAACATACGATGAACGATTACAGGAACTGGGCTTGGCTAGTCTGGTGAAGAGAAGGACCAGGGGAGACAGGATAGCAGTCTTTCAATGTTTGAGGGGCTGCCCCAGAGAGGAGGAAGTGGTCAAGCTATTTTCCAAAGCTCCTGTAGGCCAGACAAGGAATAATGGATGGAAACTGAACAAGGAGAGATTCAACCTGAAAATAAGGAGAAACTTTCTGACAGTGAGAACAATCAACCCATGGAACAATAGTTGCCTTCGGAAGTTGTGGGAGCGCCATCACTGGAGACTTTCCAGAAGAGATTTTTTTATCAGAAATGGTGTAGGGTCTCCTGCTTGGGCAGGGGGGTTGGACTAGATGACTTACAAGGTCCCTTCCAACTCTTGATTATCTGTCATCTGTTATCATATTATATTAATATATATTAGACACACACACACACACACACAAAACACTGAAGAAGCTTCTTGGATGAGAACTGAAACATCCTCAAAGAAAAACCAAGTCCAGTTGCCTCTTGAAAGAGCACCTTTGGGACAACCAAGACCTGGAGGATGGAGAATCTCCATAGCAACAGGTTGAGAAGCATCGCATTAATACATATTAACTCTACTTAAGTTGATGTTCCTACAGAAAAAAAAACACAACCCTTAGTGAGATTAAGTTACGTTTTTGCTCCGGGTCTGCCCATTTTTCTTCTCAGGGTCCCACAAATTTTTCAGTTTTGAAGCAAGGTTTTTCCTGGGGCACCCAAACCTTGAAGGCCAAAATAGCTTTCGCTTACAGAAAGTTGCTCCCCTCCACCTTTAAACAAGATTTACTTTGTTAACTCGCTTGCCACTCAACGACTCAACCCACCTTCGCTGCTGTAACTGTAGACCGCCACTGTTGACCTTTCCATTAGATTTTCATCGTGGTGCCAACTCACAGCCATTCTCCCCATGCCAAAATAGGGCTCCGGTTTCAAGGACGGCATTTTCTGGGGATCCATATAATTTAATAATGTCAGGTTGTAAGATGTTCTCTCTTTCGGGATGGTGGAGTCACTCTTCGGAGAAGGGTTTTGATCTTGCAAAACAGCTCCCGTCTCGGTAACATAATCTTGATCCCCGTCCCCGAAGGGTGAATTCTGCGTTCCTGTTGTCTCGGCCAAATCTGCCTTTGCAGACCCAGCAAAGATTCTCTCTGCAAGTAGTCATTAAGCCTGCTTAACGCTTTACAAGCCAGGGATATCTCAGGATTGGAGTAGTGGATGTCGTAGCCTTCCGTAGGCCAAGGGACGGAAAACAACCTTGTGTTCAAGTATTTGTAAGTGCACCCTGGGTTCCCAATTAATATGCGAGATACGGGGGTAACAAAACCCTTCCCTTTGATCCTTACAAGGTCTTGGAAGAAGCAAACATGCTTTCGTAAAGTGAAAAATGCTTCTTGGACTTCCTCGTGAAGGTCTTGAGGAATCTTCTCGGAGTTCTTGAGGATAAGCTTGGAGTATTTAGTCTTCCACTAAAAATAAAAGGAAACGATAAATCATTCTGATACATATTTGAAGCTTAGGATGGAGGGAGTGTTATATATAAAGATTTCAACTGAATTACCTACCTGACCTTTTGTGTATAGAGATTCTCCATCATCCAGGTCATGGTTGTCCCAACGGTGTTGTTTTCTTTGAAGAGGCAACTGGACTTTCTTTGTTTTTCCTTGAAGACGTTTCGCTTCTCGCCCAAGAAGCTTCTTCAGTTTAACTTCTTCAGAACTAAAGAAGCTTCTTGGATGAGAAGTGAAATGTCTTCAAGAAAAAAACAAAGAAAGTCCAGTTCCCTTTTGATAAAAGCACCTTTGGGACATCTGATCCTTTGGAAACTGCTCAAGTGCCCCCTGAAAACCTCTGGATCCATTAGAGACCTTGGACAAACTGATCTACTAAGGCTTCCTCAGTGAAGAGAGGGATTGTTGTGTGAAAGTCCAGACCAATCAGAGAGGGATCGGTCCATGACGAGGTGTCAAACTCAGTCCCCGAAATTGTCAGAGTACACTACTTTTGTTCCAAGATGGAAAGCAGATTTAAAGTATGAAATTTTATGTGCATGGGGCCTTCAACAGGTTGACTCCAGTTTAGAGTTGCACTTCCTCCGGGGAAGTGTTGTGGTCTGTTAGCAGCCTGCGGAGACGGCAGCAGAGTCGGACAGTGGGGAGGAACATAGGCCAATTCAGGAGTCTGGGGAGGACTCGGATGAGGGTTCTGTTTCCGATATAGAGATGAGGCCAGGACCATCTGGGAGTGGTGTGCTGACTCCAGAGCTTCCAGAGTCTGACAGCAGTGAGGCAGAGGAACAAGGGGAGCCTGTTACCAGTGCACATGTGCACAGAGCTGCCAGAAGGCAAGAACAGTTAAGACAAAAGGGGCAACTCAGGAGTAAGGCTTGGAAGTGATTGGCCCTCCCATAAGACACAAAGGAGGAGCAAAGGGACAGGAACCTTTGCAGGAAGCAACTTTGCTCATACTGGTCGGTTTGAAATCTGAAGCTCTGTGTTGAATTTGTGCTCCATTTGGCCTCGTAAAACTAATGGGAAATTTAGTCATTGGCAGCATTTCAAGGAAGATAAAGGTGGTTGCTTATCAGATTTATCCTGAAGGATTTTGGCAGACTTCAGTGGGGACTATTTACAAACTGTTTGAGACTCATTACGGGCTGTGAATGACTATAATTCACAACCTTTGAAATTTTTTAAAAAGGGTTTTGGAACTAACATGCATTTGTTGGTGTCTCAATAAGCCTTAGTCAGAACAGGAAGGTGGGTTGATATCCTTCCCATACCATCAGTTTGGGGAGCTACACAAGCACACTAATATTGGGAAAACAGTAGGTTAACAGCAGGATTATCTGTCCCACATATGGCTAATCTGCAGAAAAGTGCCTCTTGATGCCAACAGAGTCTCACAGATAAGAACAGCAAAATAGCACGTCGTCCTGCCTTGATCAGTTGCCCAAATCTCTCCAGAAGAATCAGACGAGTGCCAAAAACAACAACACAACATAACACAACATCTAAGAGGGAACATGGCCTACTTCTTCTCGCTCTTCACTGTTAAAGATAGGAGCTAACTCATCATACGTTATTTTTTTTAATGCCAGCCAAAGAACAGCTCATTACAGATGCTGGCAGTCATGAAACCGAAGTTGACTGATTGTCAATAGTTAAGAGAAGTTGGATCTGGTGAGTAACTTGCATTCAGGGCAATTCTCCAGAATGTTTCCCAACGTCCTTCCCTAGACAAGGAAGTTGAGAAAATATCCGAGAAGAAACTGGAAACCAATCAGTGCCTATAATGGTTGTATCTATGCAACCGTTAGAGACACTATACACAAAAGAGACACAGGGGCTCAGGGGCTAAGACGCTGAGCTTGTCGATCAGACAGGTTGGCAGTTCGGCGGTTCGAATCCTTAGTGCTGTGTAACGGAGTGAACTCCCGTTACTTGTCCCAGCTTCTGCCAACCAGCAGTGCGAAAGCATGAGAAAAAATGCAAGTAGGAAAATAGGGACCCCTTTGGTGGGAAGGGAACAGCATTTAGTCCTGCCGGCCACATGACCACAGAGACGTCTTCGGACACCGCTGGATCTTCGGCTTTGTAACGGAGGTGAGCACTGCCCCCTAGAGCCGGAAATGACTAGCGCGTATGTGCGAGGGGAAGCTTTACCTATATACATGGATCTGGACTTATAACGGTTTGCTTAGTGAGCATCCAGAGTTACAACTGCACTGGAAAAAAGTGACATATAATTGGTTTCACACTTAACAATAGTTGCGGCATTTTCAGGGTCACGTGATCAAAATTCAGAGGGTTAGGAACTGACTTATATTTATGATGGTTGCTGTGTCCAGGAAGCCTGTGGTCTCCTTTTGTGACCTGCTGGCGAGCAAAGTCAACGGGAAGATCAAATTCACTGAACCATGTTACTAATTTAATAATTACAGTGATTCACTTAACAAGAGTGGCAAGAAAGGTCGTAAAATGAGGTGAAACACACTTAACTGCAATACATTTTGGGCGCAATTGTGGTCGTAAGTGGAGGACTGCCTATATCGTCACTGAAAGAAACATTACTTTTTAATAAGAGATACCGTATATACTACTTTCCGACTTGCGAAATTAAGCATCCTATTAATACACCTTAAAACACTGCCTGCCTGGTTTCCATGCTTTAAAAGATTTTTTTTTTTAACAAAAGAAAAGAGGAAATGGAAACACATTTCTAACACATCATCTGAAAATACCAATCAGGCTTCTTTCATTCTCTAGCCAGGCATCCGGCTTTGTCCTACATAAGGAAAACATTAAGTGATCAGTAGACAAAGAAAGGTTGAGAGGAAAAAGAGAGGAAGAGAAAGAGAAAGAAAGAAAGAAAGAAAGAAAGAAAG